AGATCCTTCCTCTCCATTTTTACCATCACAGTACACTCCCATCATAGATGAAAACTGTCCCCAAACTAGTTTCCACCTTCTTCCTGCACTGCACTTTTCGCATCTAGGTTGATCATCTAACTGCTTGACTCAGCACCTTCCTTCCATTATCAAGGCCTGATTTAAAAGCTGAAACAGCTCTCCATGAAGAAATACTTTCCTACTTTCCCTTCTTGTTAGTTTACCCATTTTAATGACAAGCTCTCTTAGTGTTCTTCATTTCCTCTGCTCCATACGTGCAAGTTCCTATTAGCACATCAAACCTCAGTCCTATGACATGTGTGAGGCCTTACTTGACCCTCCCATGGGCCATGTGTAAATTAGCTGTCCCTCCCTCAGTGTGCTGCTATGCCGGTTCTCTGGCTCATGGCAGCATGTAGTTGTTTTACTCTGCTGTACACCCACACACATCTGACCTGCTATCAAACAGTGACTACAGTGATCCGGACCCTCTTTGCCCAGTACAAAGCCTGAGCCATAAAGACTGCTCAGTGTACATTTCTTTTTTGCTGTTATCTTGTTTTGGGGTCCCACCCAGCAGCACTCAACACTTACTTCTGACTCTGCTCTCAGAGATCAATACTACTCAGTCCCAGGGGACTTTCTAGGATACTGGGGTCTAGTCTGGGTTAGCTATGTAAGAGGCTTCTCAGTGTTTATTTCTAATACTGTATGTCTAATAATGATTAATCAACAACAATGGAGTACAAACTAGGTGCTTATTAAAAACAGGTTAGAATCACAACTGGCTATGGGCTCTAATGCTCAGTGATAGGAAATGACTAGGGCGGTAGGTACGACAAAGTCCTGGACAATGCAATGAGGGGCCATCATCACTACCAGAATATTTTACCATGATATGAGGTTGCACATTTCAACTCTATTCTCAGAGACACAGTAGAAACAGCTTATATCCCTCCATTTTGAATAATATGAACATCATTTTAAAAATAAAATTAACCTTTTCTTTTCTGCAGGTATTGCATGAGAAAAGTGTTACATATATAGTTTTAATTTTCTTTTTTGTTATTATCTGTATTGGGGCTACAGCGACAGCACAGCAGGTAGGGTTTTTGCCTTGCATGTGGCCGAGCCGGCAGACCCGAGTTCGATTCCTCTGCCCCTCTCGAAGAGCCCAGCAAGCTACCAAGAGTATCTCGCCTGCACGGCAAAGCCTGGCAAGCTACCCGTGACATATTCGATATGCCAAACACAGTAACAACAAGTCTCATAATGGAGATGTTACTGGACTCGCTCAAGCAACTCGATGAACAATGGGAGGACGGTGTTACAGTGCCAATATCTGTATTGGAACCAGAATGATAGAACAGAGTTGTCCAGCCCAGATTCAATCCCCAGAAACTCATCCGATTGATTCCCTGAGCTCTATCAGGAGTGATCCCTAAGTGTAGAGCCAGGGGTAAGCCCTGAGAACCACCAGTGTGACCCAAATAACAAAACAAAACAATAATCTGATGTTTAGGGCCTGAGAGATGGTACAGGGGGTAAGGTGTTATCCTTGCATGCAACTAGTCCTGCTTTGATCACCAGAACTGCATATAGACCCCTGAGCACCGGCAGTGATCCCTAGGCAGAGTCAGGAATAAGCCCTGAGCTCTACCATGTTAGGCCCCCAACAAAACAAAAAAACCTGATGCCCAAAACAAATGACTTTTAAGCCAGAATGATCCATTTTTAAAATAGATCTTTTACACTCTTGCTAATGTAAGACACTTTAATTAATTAGAAATAATTAGAAATAGAAACAAAAGATGGCAGAGCTTCTGAACAACTTAATTTTTCTATAATGAATCATAATTAGTTGTCAACATTCCTAAGGCCAAGTTGATATAGTAATGTATATATATATATATATTTTTTAAGCCAAAGAATACAACATCTCTAACTTTATCACACCAAAACAATTCTCAAAACCCCTAAGCTTTTAGTCTGCAAATACTTCAAATCTTCTAGAGCAAAGCAGCACAGTATAATGTCTAGAACTAGAATCCACGTATCTATTTCAATTCTACCACTAGCCCACTCTGTGAGCGTGGGCTGGCTATTCTGTCTTACTATATCTTAGTTTTCTCATTTGTAAAATGGAGATGACAGTACTAATTCCACTTGGACCATAAGAAACATTAAATAATTTAACTCATGTAACAGGCTTAGAAAAAAAAATATAACCTTAATCACATTAGCAATGTTCCCTAGAACACAGCTAGATACAATGGTGAAATAAGACAGTTCATGCCCTATATGATTACCACACCAAAAGAAAAAAAACAATATTATAGCCATAAAATCAAATCTTGGAATGATCAGGGAAACCATCAGACAGATACTTTCTGAAGGCAGGGAAAAGTGAATTGTTATTATTATTATCCAGCATCTTGCAGAGACTCTAATTTTTATTTTTCTACTGAATGACAAAACTGAAAAAAACTGTAATAAGAAAATGGGTCCTACAATCTGTGTTTCTAAAGTTTCTGCAATCACATACATAATTAAATATAACTTTAAAAAGCTGTCAGCTTACTATACCAAAATAAAATGAAGATAGATTTATGACTATCATTCTTTTATATGCAGAAAAGAAACACTGTAATAGAAAATTAAAAGGCAAAAGGTAATAGAAAATAAGCAAAGTAAGTGCGATCATGATATATAACTACTGCTGACTCCTACATGCTCCTTTGACAAGGTCAAATTACAACTGTGGAGAGACGCAATCAAAATTTTATGATATCAAATAAAAGGTTACAATTTCTTGAGCAGGCCTTTTAGAATTTAGCTTTTCTTGATTCACTTCAAAGATCTAGCTAATTAATTACTAAACAATAGCCACCATTTTATTGAGAGCTTATTATGCATTAGGATACGTATATTAATCAAACCTTCAGCTTTACATGTCTGGGTCATTAAACATTTCATCTAACAGGCATCTTATTCCAGCAGCCCAACCACTTTGTATTTAATTTTATGATCCAAGAGAATTTTTAAGTTTAATTTGAAAAGCAACTATAGCTAAACAAAGTCAATGTTGTGGAAACTTTTCACTAATAAGAATACCTATGGAACACTTTTCTTTAAAGGAATAGTCAATAATTAGAATTGCTAAGTTAGTAATCTGTTTTACCTCATCAAGGTAGAAATAAGGCATTCTATAAAGTAGCACTCAAAAACAAAGAATAAACTAACAAAAACAGAACCAAAGTGTTAATTTTCCTTGGATACCTAATCCTTCTTAACCAGAATATTCATATGCTTAGAAGTTAACATGGAAAAGATCAATTTTTCCATGGATTTATCATTCACATTATAATGCCAACAATTCCATTCTCTTAAACATGTGTTCATATTACAATAAATATACATATGGCAACTATTAGAACCTAAAGCGTTCTAAAGTGAAGCAAAGCTGAAGTATAAGTCTATTCCTTCAAGCCCACATTCTCTCTTGAACATGTATCTCTCTTTTACTTTTTTTGGGGTCACAACCAGCGATGCTCAGGGGTTCCTCCTAGCTCTGTGCTCAAGAATTACCCTGGCGGTGCTGAAGGGGCCATATGGTATGCCAGGGATTGAACCCAGGTCAGCCACATGCAAGGCAAATGGCCTACCCGCTGTACTATAATTCCAGCCCCCAACATATATCTCTTTATATCTGCTTTTTTCCCCACTCTGGAGAAGTCCATGTTCTCTTCTGAATATGGATTCCTATCCATCCTTCCTCTCATGCCTTTATAAGTAAATTCTGTTCAATAAAAAAACTTGCTTCACGAAAACAACAACAAAAACCCTGAAAAATCAGGAAAAATGTTCCTTATTCGGGAAATTGAAGAGATTTTGGCGGGTAAAAATGATTCTACCAAAATCAATAATAATGTACATCATTGCTACAGAATTAATTTTAGGCATAATATGAAGAGGTAATGAATAATGTATGAGGATGAAGAAAAGAACAAGAAAAATAAAACACAAATAATAACTACACTTGGCAAAAAGGACTGTCACTGTCACTGTCCTCCCGTTCTTCATCGATTTTGCTCTAGCAGGCCCCGTGATGTCTCCATTATGACACTTGTTACTTTGTTTGGCATATCGAATACATCACAGGGAGCTTGCCAGGCTTTGCCATGCGGGCGAGATACTCTCGGTAGCTTGCTGGACTCTCTGAGAGGGGCGGAGCAATCGACCCTCAGTCGGCAGGGTCGGCCGCGTGGAAGGCAAAAGCCCTACCCGCAGTGCTATTGCTTCAACCCAGCAAAAATTAAAAACAAAAAAATTGGAAAAAAAAAAGGACATGAAAGATATTCATCAAAAAAAGGAAGAAAGGATGTGAATATTTATTCATAAATATTCATGTCCTAATAAAACAACCTTTCTTATTATAAGACTGTAAGGTTTAAGGTTTAAATGTTAATTTTTGAGTACAGATTTAATGTTATTTCCAAATCCCATGTCTTGCCATAGAGCACTAATAATACTCTCATGGAACATAGGGAAAAGGGAGAAAGAGAAGTAAAGTCACAAATTTATGCACTAAACCTATACCTTAAGGCAATCCTGATTCTATGTTTTCTATCAAATGGTCAATAGTCAAAAAAAAAGGGAAAAAGTAGCAAAAACTAACCAAGAAAAGTAGCAAAAACTAACCAAGAGCTGACTTCTAATACAACCACCATTCTAAAGAACACCAAAATTCCGTGGTATTTTGGCCATTAATCAGTTCCCTAAAAATGTAGCAGAAAGAATCTGACATATATTTCCCACATTTTGGTTCAGAGGATCAAAACAGAAAATCTTTTTAAAATTGAGATATAATTAACACTTGTCTCTTAAGGTTTTGACTCTTCATAAACATATTTCATATAGTTAGGGTGAATATTAACAGAAAATTACAAATTTAACAATATAGCAAGAAAAAAATAATGTATCTAATAAAAATGCCATACCTGGTGGTACTTCCTGTTCTTCAGGTGGCAGAGGCATTTCTGAAATAAATCAGAGGCAAGGTTAGGACGGCCTAGAAGGGAAAATTTGTATTTTCCTTCCGCAATCACAGAAAATCTACACCAAAATTTAAATTAATCTACACAGAAATTCATCTAAAACCCTGATAAACCAAGTTTTTAAAGCAAAAGACAAAAGAATGACAACCAAATGGACTGGAGACAGAGTCCTTGCCATGAAAATAAAAAAAAAACCCATGTTCAGGCCATGGGCAGCAACCCAGAGTGATTTCTAAGGTGCTGACTTTCATCCTGAAGAGCAGAAACAGGAATGCCCAAACGCCTGGCATCCCAATCCTTTCCTTACAACTGTGAAACAGGAGACAAGAAACTAAGATATAAATAGGGGTCAGAGTTGACAACAGACTCCACTGTGATGACCTCTTCAGAGAGCCGTACTGGTAGAGGCCAAAGAGCATCTCACTCTCTATAGTAACAGACTTTGAGAGGTGAGTTCTATTTAGCCCGAACAAATGGCTGAGTTAGTCCAGGGCTGAGGGATAATTACTATGAGTATTTACTCCTGATAGTCAAATAGACCTAGTTCCTGCCAATCACGATGGACTGCTTCTAAGCAAGTTATACTGCTTTGACAGCAAGCACCTCCAGCAGTGTGCCAGGGGGATACAATGCCTGCTACAGTCTCTTGCCAACCTCACAAGCAGTGAAATTCTGCTCTCTGCCAGAGTGAGTTTTCACTCTATCACCAGCTGGGACTGAGACTCAAAAGTTTTTTTCAGCTCACTCAGATGTGTGTTCCTCAGTCATCACACACATCTGTGTGACTGTCAGAGGATGGTGGCTGGGGGCACTGACAACCTTGAGTCCTGGTCACTGACCAAATCTTACTGAATTTGCTCTATAGCGGCCCCCAAAGACTCAACTCCAAACTCCTGGTTGCTGCCCAAACTCAACTTAAATACAGCTTCCCAGGCCTGGCTAAGATCCCTGCATGCCCGACATGATGAGAAGATGGACCCACATGAAGAGCTCAAGAGTCAACCTAAAAATAACTTCAAATACAACAGCTACTTTACAAGCTACTTAAAGACTCCAGAGCCACAGTCCTTACGCTAACCAGAATGGGAAGATCAGGAAGAGAACTTCAACAAAGACATAAAACTTGGAAGCTTGAGGAAAGATCAACTATAAAGTTCATCATAAAATTAAAGACTAATATAGATGAAATTAAAAAAAAAGAATAGAGGGCTAAACAGCAGAATGGATAGAGCCTAAAACAGAACCAGTGAAAGTAAAGTAGTAACCCACTCAGTAAAAGAGCAACAAAAAGAAGACACAATTAAAAACAATGCATACAACATTAGACAGTTTTGGAAAATCACCGAAAGGAAACACGCCACCATAGTGCTGACATAAGAAGAGAAAGAGAGGAAAGGGTGGAATTTATAGCCGCAGAAATAATAAAAACTTCTTCAAGCTGAAACAGATATGCAGCCCAGAAATCTCAAAAAGTTTACCCCCAAATAAACCCAGATATATCTCACCAAGACACATCCCAACTAAAATGGAAAAATCAAAGATAAAGAGAGAATCCTAAAAGCACTGGGAGAATTGCAAAGAATCACAAAATAAAGAACTCCTGATAAGATTTATTAGCAGATTTTTCAATAGAAAATCTACCGGCCTGACAGAAATGATGCGTAAAAAATTCAGACTAGAATAAGAACTCATTCATTTTTGGTCCTCCTAATTCTTTTCTTCTAATGCTCATTATGTAAAATTCAGAGAATTTTAAATTATAGATACCATAATTTTTTAGTTCGGTCATTTATTTTTATTTTTTAAAAAGTTGATCTTATTTTTCCATGTAGATCTCATACATATCAATTTATTATGAATACATTTGGCATTCTATCACTGCATACAGTTATAATAGATGTTTGAGGGGTAAACAGGTATTTTAGGGGGGAGTGTTTGGTGGGCATTCAGCTGACACTGATTTAATCCCCAGAAACACCTGGAGTGCAAGCCCCAACCCTCATCCCTCATACACCCATAGGAGGACATCAGGGCACAAAGCTGGGAGGTATCCCTTGCACCAACAGGTGTGGACCAATGCCCCACACTCATAAATGTTTAGTATTATTCTACTTAATTCAACATTTGGCACAAATAAGAAAAAAAAAGTACTTTGGGGAAGGGAGACCCCTATATTAAGAAAACATTTTCTTTGCATCTTTTACTTATACTTTGTAAAAACATCAGAAACAGAAATTTTATATTGGGGAAGACATTTCTAGGGAGCATAACTCAATTCAATTTACATTATACCTATAAAACTATGGACCGAAGCAATAGCATAGCGGGTAGGGTGTTTGCCTTGCACGCGGCTGACCTAGGTCTGATTCCTTCGCCCCTCTCAGAGAGCCCAGCAAGCTACCAAGAGTATCCCACCTGCACGGCAAAGCCTGGCAAGCTACCTGTGACGTATTCAATATGCCAAAAACAGTAACAACAAGTCTCAACAAGTCTCACAATGGAGACAGTACTGGTGCCCACTTGAGAAAATTGATGTACAATGGGAGGACATTGCTATAAAACTATAAAGTCTAAAAAACATTACAAAGAAAAAAATGAGAATACAGTTTTGGGTTTTTGTTTTGTTTTGGTACCACACTCAGTGATGCTTGGGGCTCACTCCTGGTTTTGCTCTCAGGGATCACTCTTTTGGGATCATGGGACTATATGAGCTGCTAGAGATCAAATTCATGTTGGCCAAGTGCAAGGCAAGCACTCTATCTGCTGTACTAAGATTCCGGCCCCAAACTACAATCTTAAAATGTTAATCACTGTCTTTAAGTTGCTTCTGAAAACTAATACTGGGATGACAATTTTAGAGCATTAATATTAGCACAGATGCAGAAACAATTTTGTGTGTGTGTGTGTGTGTGTGTGTGTAGCAAGATACTTTTTTTTAAATGGTTTTTTTTTTTTTGGTCACACCCAGCAATGCACAGGAGTTACTCCTGGTTCATGCACTCAGGAACTATTCCTGGAGGTGCTCGGGGACCATATGGGATGCTGGAAATAAAACCCGGGTCAACAGCGTGCAAGACAAATGCCCTACCCCGCTGTGCTATCACTACAGCCCAAAGCAAGATAGTTTCTATTGAAGCTTATTAGAAAGACATGAGGGGAGAGAGAGATGTACGTGTTTAAGAGAGCACACATGATTCTCCAGAGTGGAACAAAACAAGCAAAAAAACATAGAGACAAGCAAGCAAGGTATGTGTTCAAAGGAAAGCGTGAGCTAAAAGAGCAAGACATAATGATGACTTTTTAATATTCAACCTAGTTACAACTAAAGAAACTGGGATTTATCATTGAAGGTCATGATATAGTGATCTTTCTTGCTCCATGAAAATCATGCTACAAATTAGTATATTCATATCATACCATCCATTTAACTAGACCTTAAACTAGAGATAAGATGATATCTCTACATTTTCTTTTAAGATTTGTAACAAGTTTTGGTCAAAGGAGGAATTCTTAATAGCAGTTTCTGAAACTCCATATATTCATGCAGTTCTTTTAATTATTGTTCTGTTCCATGTATATTTTTTAATCTTCTTGCAGAGCCTGGCAAGCTAGCCGTGAGGTATTCAATATGCCAAACACAGTAACAATAAGTCTCACGATGGAGACGTTACTGGGTCCGCTCGACCAAATCAATGAACAACAGGAGGACTGTGACCATGACTGTGACCTGTGACCGCCTCACACAAAATGCTATACCTGCAAAATCATGTTTGTATCATGCTGCTAGGGATTGATCCTAGAATTTCATATATGTGAAGAAATTGGCTCTAACTTTATGTCATATCCTGTATGACAGTTGTCTTTGGAAATATTTATTAAAACTAAAATCCAGGGAGGTGTGGAGCTCTGGATTCAAGCACCAAAATTTCAGGAAGGAAAAATTTAAAGGCACCTTCATGTTTTGTTTGTTTTGGGCAATGTCAGTGCTTGGGCGTCACTCTTTTTGCTGCTTGGAGGACCATTAGCACCGGGGGTTCAACCTAAAGCTACCATATTCAAAGCAAGTGCTCTAATTCTTTGAGCGATAGTCTCAGCCCAGCGCTGTCATCTTTAAGTATATGATTCACACAAATTATTTATAATATTTGAACCTTATTTTTCTTATTTGGAAAGTAGGGAAAATACAATGTACTTCATAGGGTTTAATAAAATGGCACAAAAAGTACAAGAGTAACTAAGAAATCTAGAAACCACCTAAATCTGATGAATCTGACAATATCACGATGCAAAGTTGCCTGTATTTTTAAGCCCAAAGGAAGTTTTTCTGTACCTTAATCCTACATGTGATCAGTTTTATATATAAATGTATTTAAGAGCAAGATTAATTTATGGAAATAGTGATAGTTTACTCCAACTGTATGTTTTACAAGCACAAGATGTATTATATGCCAAGACTGCTATGACTATAATATAATGATACATCCTCTCAATCTGCTACAAGGCAAATTGCGATGAATTTAAGAAATTTAGTCAATGGGAAAACCCACTGAAACATTCATAAATTCTTTGAAAACTTCACCCACTTGGACATTTTAAGTGATGGCATTTGTAGCTTAAAAATATACTCTCGATTCTTCACAAATTCTGAGCTGATTTTTTGTATGTATCCACATATGCATTTATTTATTATTTGAGCTTGGAGTCACACCTGACAGTGCTTATACCCTACTCCCAGGTCTCTGCTGGGAATGAAACCAGGATCAGTGGCATACAAGTATAAATACAGAACCCCTGTACTATCTCTCTGGCCTATGGGCATATTTTAAAACAAGTAGGCAGCATAAAGCTAAAGCATCTCAAACCTTGATCATCATAGTCTTGGTATATTACATTATCTGCAAAACACAAAAAAGAGCGAATAAAACCAACATAAATAGTAAATGATTCCTTCTGTTTCATTTCTTAGCAAAAATTGTTAATAGCAATACAAAATCCTGTCCCTTTAATATTAACGTGTGATGATAGTCAGTTACAAATGCCTCTGCCCAAAGGCTATACAAGGCAAGAGTGGGCAAAACAGTTTTGTAAAATTCCTTAAAGCAACATAAAGAAGACATACAAAACTAGTGCTAACAATTAATAGCTCATTTTGTTGCAGAGTTAGGTGTAAAGGAGGTGAAATATGAAAGCATCTTGAAAATCTAATTTTGTTAACAAAGCTTATGTTAGACGCTAAAATCACTTCTTTGGTTCCTATGTAACAAAATGTCATCTGCTAATATAGCATTGCCACAATATAATTATAAAATCTACTGAGTACATTTGCTACTACCTGCATCATGTAGTATCCTTTCATCCTCAGTGCCTAAGTGTTCACCGGCATCTAAAAAAGATTTAAAAATAGACAAACTTTACCAAACTTTACAAAGTACTTTATCTTGGAAGGTAAGAGTAGGAAAAATAAATAAATATAAAAACCACATTCACTAATCAATTTCAACTCTAGAATACTTGTAGCTACATTAAGAATAAATTTTTAAAAAATCAAGCCACATGATAAAGGTAAAGGTAAAGGCCCTCCCGTTGATCGCCGATTTGCTCGAGCGGGCCCAGTAACGTCTCCATTGGAGACTTTGTTGTTACTGTGTCTGGCATATCCAATACTCTCGGTAGCTTGCCGGGCTCTCCGAGAGGGGTGGAGGAATCGAACTCGGGTCGGCCATGTTGGCCGCTTGTAAGGCGAACGCCCTACCCGCTGTGCTATCGCTCCATACTTACCTGGCAGGGGAGACACCATGATCACGAAGGTGGTTTTCCCAGGGCGAGGCTTATCCATTGCACTCCGGATGTGCTGACCCCTGCGATTTCCCCAAATGTGGGAAACTCGACTGCAAGCCACATGATACTTTTTGAAAAAAAAAATTTCCAACACCTTTCTAAAATATTTAAAATCAGGGGCAGGAAAGTAACACAAGAGGCTAGAGCAGATGCTTCTAGAAGGCCAGGTTCAAGCCTCCTGATGAACTCCTGAACACTGGGTCCCAGCACTGCTGGGGAGGACGTGGAGCACAAAGCAAATGAAATCCTAAACTAACTGTGATCTTCATATTCATAAGGTAGATACTAACACTGTTGTTTGACAAAACTGAAATGCAATAAGGTCTGATAATTAGTTCTATTAATGACAAAGATAGGAAATGACAAAATCAGAATTTAGCCCCATCTGATTCTGATATATCATATTGCTTTATTACTAAATACCAGATATTTTAAAAGATCTCTCTTCAAAAACCAGGGCAACCAAAGCTGACTTAATATTATCAAGAAATCTGGATTAAATCAGAGTGAACCATTAATCCAGGGTTAAAATGGATCTTGCGAGAGCTTCCAACAAACAAACATAACCAACCTGGATTTTCTTGTTCATACATTGCTTCGTCTACGTCCTGATTATAGTCTGGTATTGCTATAAAACAGGAAACAATTAAGAAACAATAAATATATATCCCATAAAAAGTTAGGCTTGATATCCAAAATACAAGCAGTACAGTTTCTAATATTGATAGAATCAAATCATAATGATGCTCAAATCTACAATTTGAACAAACAGGCACTGTTTTATGGTGAAAAATGAATAAGGATAATCTATAACTAAACCATGTGAGTGGAGTTGTACTTCTCACTAGTTTATGAAAATTCAATTATATTTAACAAAAAAGAAAAACAGACACAGAAAGAACAGTGCAGGCCATCCATCCCACCCAGGGTGCGAGCACACCGACTGATTGTCTTCCCCCTTCTCACTTGGCCCTGGGACCCTCAGACATAATTTCATAATTCCACTGTTTACAGATACAGGGGGCTGGAGCGATAGCACAGAGGGTAGAGCATTTGTCTTGCACGCGGTCATACCAAGAGTATCTGGCCCGCACAGCAGAGCCTGCCAAGCTCCCTGTGGCATATTTTATATGCCAAAAACAGTAACAAGTCTCACATGGAGACGTTACTGGTGCCCGCTTGAACAAATCAATGAACAAGGAGAGGACAATGCTACATACAATGCAGTGCTACAGATACAGGGAGCTGAAGCAACAGAGATCCTAGATGCCAGCCATAACATCACTTGGGCCTCAAGCACAAACACAAGGAGCTTTCACAACAGTGGAAGCTAAATGTGCTTGCTGGAGACGTATGTGTCCTTCTCAGGAAAGTTTCAGACTTTGAAAGAAGTGTGACATGTGACAAGACACATTTCTGATCTTTCACGGACTTCGTCATTTAAGTTCACAAAACATTCAATTCTGTGTCTTTTGATATCAAATCCAAGTACTGAGAACAGCACAAATGCACAAATAAAGATTCACACTTATCTATAAAAATTATGACATAGCACATTTTATGAAAGAGCATGATTATTATTTATATATGATGAAATACAGCATTTAAGTAAGCAATTATATATTTTCTTTTATGATGCTTTTTTTATAGGAAAAGACTTGTTCTAGTTAAAAATATTAAATTAAATCCCGGTGACAAAGAGCTTCCACAAGCAAGACCCAGGTATGTGGGTTCCAGGACTGAATCTCCAGGCCACATGGCAGCAGAGGACCGGGGCTGCCCCTCCCCGGGTCTCGCCCGCCCAGCAGGCTGGCTGTCATGCCCATAATTTGCCTTTGGGTGCCATCTTAGGGCACCAACAGCTCTGGTCCAGAGACTCCCAATTGAATCCCAAAATGGATTAGAGCCATAAAGAGATATCTCTAGAACCCAACCATTTACAATCTAGAAATTTACCTTTACAATTGCGGCCATGCAAGTTCTAATGATATTCACAATGAGTAATGAAAACTAAATTATCTAGCATCTGCCCCTGGCAGGTAGGCTTGAATGGTGGTGGGAAATTTCGAGTAAACATAATGCCCCAAATTAGAGAGAATTGGGGAAATTGTCTGCCAGAGAGGCAGGGTGAGGACTGGGATGGGGGTGGTGGAAAATGTGCAGTGGTGGAGGGATGGGTGTTCCATCATTGTATGGCTGAATCCCAAATGTGAAAGCTTTGTAACTCTATGTCACAGTGACACAATTTAAAAATAAAGTAATGCCCAAGTCAATCAGCTTAATCAAAGACTGAACAAATAACAGTATTCCTACATTATTAAATTAAAATCTCACCTCTGTCATCTTCTACTTGGTAACTAATTTCAGCTTTAGGGAGAAAAAAATCAAACAATATTATTATTTTCATCAAATGATATACATATATGCACATATTGTATATATATATACACACATATGTTCTATATATAATGTATATCTATTTTCTAAACCTTTATTTTGAAAGCAAATAACTTGAAATAAAAATATCAACAAAGTGCCTGCTAAAATGGTATCTTTTATGAGAGGTACACTCAGAGATGGCTCTTTGGGTCAGGGAGTTAGCTGAAGGCCCTGGAGCATGGGACAAGCCTGAACCCAACACAGGGAACAACTGCTGAGCACTGAGGCTGAGTAGTCACAAGTGTAACTGGGTGCTGCCAAACCTCCCCATCCCCAAACTCCCAAAATACCAAAGGAAATACTACTTTTAGATTTAGAAATATCTCAAACATTTCCTTATTTGATCCACTGAACAACCCTATAAGAAAGAACAAACACTATAATCTGCGGTAAAGAGAGGGGACAATTTATAACGAGTTACTGAGTGACAAAAGCTAGGCCAGGAAAGGTGCTTGCTTCTTGACTATTTCACATTTTACTACGGTGCTCTATATTCTAAACCTACCATTTCCTAAAGCAAAAGGACACTGTAAACAGATGGGAACTAGAAAAAAGGAAAGAGAAGACTTTAAGTTTGGGGAGCTTAAAGGTAAAGACGTTGATATATCAAACACATAAGGAAAAAAAGGGCTGCTTGCCACTCTCGGAACTCTTAATTTAACAGCTCTACTATTTACTTAAATTTTAGTTTTGGAGTTTTAGTAAGCAGCTTCTTTAAATGAAACCTATGCCCCATTTAAAGATTTGGTGAGAAAGGAAGGATCTTCTAAACTGTTTAAAAGTGTTTCTTCCTAACATCAATCTCTAACTCCTAATTTCAAAAACATCAAATTCCTTATGGCTGATTATTTGAAAATTTTTATAGAAGCAGCACTAGGAATACCCAAATTATGAAAAGCTATCAATTTTTTGTACCCTTTTGTCCAGAGACAGGAGAGAAAGTTATAGCAGAGAAATGTAGTAATCATTTTATCAGCATCCCTACATAGAAATTAGAAAAAAAAACATTTCCCACAGAAATCATGGCATGCATAATTTATAATATATGTTCAAAACATTCTGAGTTTATTTTTCTCACAGAAAACTTCACATTATAATTCCGTAGGTTGGTATGTACAAAACCATCACTTACCATAGTATTTCTATTTAAAAGTGCTGCTCCTTGGAATTTGGAAATATTTTTATTTATAAATTCAAAGTTGCTTGCTTCTAAGGTGGTTTTGTAATATATGTTATACATGTAACATATGTCATACCAGCTGCATTTCACCTGGTGAGTTCTGACCAGTTATTTATTTTGGGCAAGGCAACCTATTCTCTTTGCTTAGGGTGGGTCAGCTCTTTTAGAAGTTCTCATGGTGATCTTTATTACACTGAGGATTACTGGGATATCACTACATCACAGAAAATGTTGTCATAAGATATTCTAATCTCTGAATCATGGCCCTATGCTTAAACTGTCCTTCATTAATACTGAGGACTTGGTCTACTACTTATTTTGTATTGGTAGCCTTTGAATTTAATTTCTGCTTGAACCCCTTCCAAGAATCTCTGATTGAGATTCTTTGTGGCTTGTGGTGCAATGAATGCAGTTACTCTATGGTTAATTTCACACAATGTCATCAAGTTTTCCATTTCAGAAAGACTTCAAAAATTCAACTTAAACAAGGCTTTTATTTTATTTTATTTTTAATTTTTATTAGTGAAAGACCAGGAGGTACAGTTGTAGACTTACAAATTTTTGTGCTTGGGTTTCAGTTATTGTTTTTTTTATTTTATACTTATTTTAAGAATAAAATTATATTGTATTTTTTTTATGTTTTAAGTAAAATGATACTGTCTGTAGTACTGTCCTCCCATTGTTCATCAATTTGCTCGAGCGGGCCCAATAATGTCTCCATCATGAGACTTGTTGTTACTGTGTTTGGCGTATCGAATACCTCACAGGTAGCTTGTCAGGCTTTGCCGTGTGGGAGAGATACTCTCAGTAGCTTGCCGGGCTCTCCAAGAGGGGTGGAGGAATCAAACTCGGGTCAGCACATGGGCCGTGTGCAAGGCAAATGCCCTACCTGCTGTGCTATCACTCCAGCCCAAATTTTACAATCAAAAGAAAATAGTATACAAATATTATAGTATAAGCACTTTTTATCAATCAAAACATCTAATATGATATTTGGCACCATCCTAAATATTACACTAGCAAGCTATAATTGGTGATTTCTATATACTGAAAATATTTGGTCTCACTTATTGGTTTTCTTTGCCTTTGCCAAAAACTCTTGTTGTAGTGACCATCCATAAACTGAGCACAAACCAACTGTAATGTAAAACTTAAGAGACTGAAATTTAAGAATTTGGGAGCTTAAGGGATAGTATAGTGGGTAGGGTATTTGCTTTTCAGAAGTCCAACTCAGGTTCAATCCCTAGCATAACAAATGGTCCCCCAAAGCCCAGGAGTAACCCTGAGTGCAGAGTCAGGAGTAAGCCCTGAGCACTGCTGGATGTGGTCCCCAAACTTTAAAAAAAAAGTTAAGAATTCATTAGGTAAGGACTATTAAGAAAAGATGACAGAAACCTAGATGTCATAAAAACTAAACATGTACACCTAGCAAACTTTCAAATGACTCTAACACATAAAAGCACAGCAGAGCACAAAAGACGTAAACACAACATCTATATCAAAAGTAAATAATATTAACTGTTATTATCATGTAACATATGTTAAAAGTTATTATAATACTATTAGATATTATTGCCTTAATAACTCTTAACTTGCCTACTTCAAATGATACAAGGCAAATACTGTTTAAGCTGGTTATTGAAATAACCAGTTTTATTAAAAATATTGACACAGAGGTCAGCAAACAATAGTTCATTGCCAAGATCAAGCCTTCTTCCAACTCTTCAAATAAAGTTTGAATGCAACAAAGCCACATTCAGCTGTTTAGGTATAGTGCCACAATAGCAGAACTGAACAGCTGTGACAGCAATGTCTAACAGATCCTCTGTCTTTTTACAAAACCGCTTGCCAATGATTGATCCACAAAGCTAGCACTGTGTTTTACCCAATCTACTATAAAGTTCATGTTAAAACAAGAACTTAACAGTATAACATGTTAAAAAAAAAGTTTAGATTTCTTATAAAAAATACTTTACTAAACATAGTACTAGTAAAGATATAAAAGTAATAAGCTGAAGTAGCTGAAGTATTGTATTTTCTATATGAAATTAACATATCCTGAAAGGTTTGCTTTAAAGTGTTTTATTTGAAAGAACAAAAAAAATTTAATTAGGTGTTTTAAATCAAAAATGATTAGCTTCATATTTTAAGAAAATACTTCATTTCATTTGAATTTTTTTAAGTTTCAACTTTCAAATATCCTAGATCAATGTTAAAAGTTAAACACTAGTTGTACTGGTATTTAAAAGACAATCTACCATTTGCAAGGTAATTTGTACTTAAATAAAAATAAAAATTTCCTACTGTACTCTATTTTTTGTTTTTACATAATTATAATAACCAATTTCCTACTATATTTTACTCTAAAGCCAAAAATGCATTCTACCTTCATAAAAGGGTGCAGTGTCTGGGGCCTCAAAGTTATCATTTGCAGTACTCGCTCTGAGGAAATTATCTTCTGGTTCCTGTTCTCTTGTTGGTTCATCATCTTCTTGTAGCAGGACATTTCCTTGAAGGACAAGGGACAAGGGTAGATAGGTCACAGAAGCCCTTTTACCCCATGAGTCCCACCCGTCCTCTGATCACATGCCTGGATGCCCACTCTGAGCATCTGCTCTTGCTCTGGGCATGTGCTGGTCCATGAGGGGGAACAATCTCTTCTGCTGGAACCTGAACTCACCCAGGACAGACACCTCATATATTTTGTTCCCTGCATATGCTCAGCGCCTAGGGCTATGCTAAATCACAGAAAGTGATAAATACTTTATGACTAAGCAAATCCATGACTGTTACTGACTAAGCAAATCCATAATAATGAATAAACATACCTTTCCAACTAGCACTGAGCCAGAGGAAGTATCACCCTGTGATCTTTCACTGAGAATTACAGAATATTTCATGTCCCATTCTTAAATAATGTTAGTCAGATGTTCTGTGCAAAGAACACCCAGTCACCAGACTATACACCTTAGTGCTGGGTTATCCACATAAGTTCATCTACTCATGTTTAACTTTTACAGGTTGCGGAGATGCCTCTTGCCTTTGGAGATAGTTAGGATATTCTGTACTGCTCTTTGATTTTCACGTGGATAGATGTCTGACAAATAGGATTATTCCATCATAGTGTTTTTAGCTTGATAGTCTTGCTGTTAAACAATGCTTCTGACACTAACTTGTCATGGCTTCATCTAATAGAGTACATCTGTATTAACACAAATGAAAGGACTGGAACTGGACTGGCCAGTGTCGCTAACCGTTAGGATGCAGAATGTATTGTCAATGACAGTACAATCTAGGTCTATCTTTAGCAGCAGTGTGACTCTGGGCAAGTTACTTGATTACTCTGTGCCTACGATTTCGCTTCTATTAGCAAAGGAATAATAATGACCCCTACTCATAGCAATGCTGCCTGGATTAAAAGCACTTACAAAAATGCCTGGCCCACAATAAGAACTTTGATGTTAATCACACCCTCATCACGGTAATAACAATATTGTCATTTCTACTGCTAATGAACTCTTCCCTCAAAACTGAAGGATTTCAATTATACAATGATCAAACACCCATCCCTCCACCAGTGCCCATTTTCCACCACCACAGGTCCCAGTATCCCTCCCACCCCCCATCCCCCCACCCCACCTTGCTTCTGTGGCAGGGCATTCCCTTTTGTTCTCTCTCTCCTTTTGGGTGTTGTGTTTTGCAAAAGAGGCATTGAGTGGCAATCATGTCTGGTCTATAGTCTACTTTCAGCATGATGGACGGATGGGTGTTTGATCATTGTATAATTGAAACCCAAGCACAAAAATTTGTAAATCTACAAGTATACCTCACAGTGTTTCACTAATAAAAATTTTTTAAAAAATAAAAGTAGTAACCAATAAAACTTTAAACATTTTTAAAAAACTGAAGGAAGTGGAGTTGGAGTGATAGCACAGCGGGTGGAGCATTTGCCTTGCACATGGCCAACCAGGGTTCAATTCCCAGCATCCCATATGGTACCCTGAGCACCGCCAGGAGTAATTTCTGAGTGCAGGGCCAGGAGCAACCCCTGTGCATTGTTGGGTGTGACCCAAAAAGTGAAAAAAAAAAACTGCAGGAAGTTTTCTTTGCTTTACCTTTAGTGCAGTGTAATGATGCTGAAAAGTGTTACTGGATTTTGATATTCCACTTCTATCAATTAAAATATACCCTGTGTCTTCTCAAGAGAGACTGCTCTATTGCTGCTCATTCGACCAGGCTGTCTGCTACTCAGCCCAGAGGTAACCCATTATAATTCCTGTGACTATTTCTAGACTTTCTTTTTTACCATATTCTTTTAAGGTTTTCTTTTTCTGGTATTTCATCCAGTACAGTTTCACGGATTTTACATGTGTTGAATTTTGTTTTTTCAATGATCACTATTCAATGGAAGTTTGTTGTTTTCGGTAGGAAAATAATCTGAACATTGAGCTCTTAGGTTTGGTCTCCAAAGATCTATGAGTGGCAGCTCTATAATAAAAACTAAATAAATAAATGTTTCCTGACTGATTCCTAAGCACCTGGGCATTGCCATGTCATTTACAGTCATTACAGACCCTATGAAGCAGGTTCCATTACACCATTTCGAGTACTATGAAATTCATGCAACTGTGCTAAGTCACAGACCTAATGAAAGACAGCTGCAGGACCTTTACCCAGGAATGAATTCTAGAATGTGGGCAGAAACCCCTTTTGAATTGGTGGCCAGAGAGAGCGCATGTGTGGTGAGATAAGACACTAGGACCAGACAGAGAAGCACACATGCAAACACAAAACACACCAGCATTTGCCAATCGCAGAGACCCTAGCACAGAGATAGGCTAGGGAACTGAACTACAAGGAAGAGGTCAGCTGGGCTGAAACAATATCATCGTGGAGAGGAAGAGACAGGGAGTCGGTGAGGCACAGCGAGAGAAGTGTCAGACATGAGGTGTCGAGGAAAAGACTGGAAATAGGCACCCACAGAAAGTGACTGCAGTGGTGATGGCAAGAGTTGCTAGTGACAGCTGACACATTGCAGAGAGGCACAGCCAGCAGGGCCTGCTGCTCGACTGAATGTGAAGGCACTGTAGCACTGTAGCACTGTCTTCCCGTTGTTCATTGATTTGCTTGAGTGGGCATCAGTAACATCTCACAACAAATTGTGAGACTTGTTACTGTTTTTGGCATATCAAATACACCACGGGGAGCTTGCCAGGCTCTGCCATGCGGGCTGGATACTCTCAGTAGCTTGCCAGGCGCTCCAAGAGGGGCGGAGAAATCGAACCCGGGTCAGCCACGTGCAAGGCAAATGCCCTGCCCACTGTACTATTGCTCCAGCCAGAATGTGAAGGAAGAGGAAGAAATCAACGCATCCAAGGAAATCCCAAGTAACTAATAAAAACCCCAAGGCTTTTTGCTTAAGCAGCTTAAGTAGACAGGGAGAGCAAGTAACAAAAATATAGACAACAGGGGGCTGACAAGGTTGTGCAAGTGGGTCACTTGCCTAACATGCGGTCAACCTGGGTTTGATCCTGAGTTATATCAGAAATCACCACTTACCACTGTCTCTCCCCAAGTCAAACTTCTCTCAAGGAAAAAAAAAAAGTATGGGGTTCCTTCACACCATGCAAATGAAGATAAGAATTCCCTTGGATAAACCAGGGGGTGGTGGGTTAGATAAGAGCCCACCCACTGGGCTACGTATGTGCATATTTCAAAGTCTGTATTCGTGAATCTCTTAGCTGGCTCAATGGGGCAAGGGAATGGTGCAAGGCTTGAGCAAAATTGCAGGTGCTCGCTTCTTTCCTTCCTCTACCTTGGGGAGTAGAATGAGAACCACTGAAGGTCCCCCTACTTGCCTCTGATGACCCAGCTTGGATCATTTGGCTTCCCTGCCCCACTCCCATCTGCTCTCACTGTAATACACTTTCTCCAGTTCACTTTCTTATGCTAAAACTGAACACACAAGCTCCCGAAAACCTCAAAGGCCTCATAACTGCTTTCATAAAAATAGTACAGCAGGTAGGGCCCTTGACTTTTATGGAGCTGACCTGGGTTTGATCCCCAATACCCCACATAGTTCCCCATGCCCTGAGCATAGAGCCAGAAGTAAACCCTGAGTACTGCTGGGGGCAGTGGTCCCCAAAACAAAAAAATCAAACAAGAAAGTAAAAATATCACTAATATTCCACTCTCATAATTTATTCATGCCTGGCTCATCTTGACCTACGTCTGGGTCTTTTGCTTCTGGGCTTTTCTACAAGCCATGTTCACTGTTTAAAACTCTCCACACATCTGCCTTCCAGAGTACTACACCTTCCTTCAGCTACTATATCCAAAAGCTATCTCCTCCAGGAAGCAGATGCTAACTAAATTTGGTTAAGCCCTACACATTATCTTGGGCTTGTGAATTATAGCACTTATTTCATTATATTTAAATCATTTAGCTCTTGGAATGCATCTTTTCTGGTGTGAGGTTTAAGTTGGGGGGGGGGGAGGGACTGTCTATGTTAGTTTTTTAAAGATGCAGGAATGGGAAGTCTGCACTTGCTCATAACGGTCAATAGCTGCTGCTCATCTGAAGTCGCCTTCCTAGCTGATAAATCACGGGAAAAAAGGACACAGGCTTTCACACTTCAAGCAGATAGTGGCAGCAACTCTAACTCAACCCAACTTAGTCATTCAACAGGGGAGAGATAGTGGTGGGTAGGATATTTTAAATAAACACAAAATACCTTAACATAAATAAAAATCTAATTTAAGTGGTGAGAAATTATTTGTTGTTGTTTTTTTTTCCTTAGTATTTCAAATCATTAAGGAATACCAGGATATCAAGTACTTGGTCTCTTCAAATTCCTTTTGTGAACTACATTTTAAAGTGTCTGACTTTAATGTACACTGGTAGAGGGATGGGTGTTTGATCATTGTATGATTTAAACTAAAACATGAAAGTTTTGTAACTATAGCTCACAGTGACTCAATAAAAAAAAATTTTAATTAAAAAAATAGGGATGCTTCAGGAGCTGGAGTGAGAGCAAACTCAGGTTCAATTCTCAGAATCCCATACGGTCCCCTGAGCACTGCCAGGAGTAATTCATGAGTGAAAAGCCAGAAGTAACCCCTGAGCATTGAAAAGAAGGCACCTGTTTTGCATGTATGAAGCCCTGGGTTTGCTTTTCAGCACCCAAATTTTATAAAGAAAAAAAGATGAAAAATAGGATGAAAGTCTTATATTTTATTAAATATAAAATTATATTATATTAAATGTTATAATTTAATATATTAAATTTTATATTGCACTGTAGCACTGTCCTCCCGTTGTTCATCGATTTTCTCGAGTGGGCCCAGTAATGTCTCCTTTTTGAAACTTGTTACTGTGTTTGGCATATTGAATACATCATGGGTAGCTGGTCAGGCTTTGCCGTGCAGGCGAGGTACTCTCGGTAGCTTGCCGGGCTCTCCAAGAGGGGCGGACGAATCGAATTCAGGTCAGCAGTGTTGGCCACGTGCAAGACAAATGCCCTACCCACTGTGCTAGATTTTATAATTTATATTAAATTTTATATTACTTTTTATTATTACTATATTTTTATTTTGTTATTATTTTATTATTTTAAATTATTGTATAAATTATAATTATATAATTTATATAATATTTATATAATGATATTATAATAAATTTATTAATTTATATTAAATTTTATAATTTAAAAATACTGGTTTTAATATTCTTTTGCCATACTTCACATGGTATTTGTTTAGGGGCTAGAAAGAAAGATTTCAAAGCACAAGGCCAACCCTAGTTCAATGCCCCCACTCCATATGGTCCCTGAGCATAACCTGAAATGGCCCCCAATCCCTCTCAGGCTTTATTTATTAAGTAGAAAACATGTTTATTTTCCCTGTGATGATTAAAAGCTTCTTCACTTTGCTTTTGTAACCACTCTAATAAAATTTGAAAATGGACTAAATAGTCCACTATGGCTTTCTTGGTTGTGTCTTATTTTCTTCCTCCTGATGTACTACGATTATTTCACGTATCCCCTCTTCCAGGGATGCTTAATCCCAGTGGTGCAGACCTCATGATTCAGTGCTCAGGCTGGCTGTGTGGTGTTCTCAGGGCATTAGGAGAACCAGGACCTGGTGTATATTATACACAGGCTCTAGCACGTGAACTAGCTCCCCAGTTCTCACCATTTATTTGAGGTGCAATAAGTTCCTTTTCTCAAACTGGGCTAAATAAAATGTTCAAGCTTTAAACAGAATCATTTTATGTAGTCATCATATTAGTAATGCATGACAGAGAGAAATTTTAATTCATACCATGTTCTGTGGATGCTGTTTTGTGGAGGTGAGGCTGAATTTGCTCTTGTACTTCATCTTCTTTATCAAATACTTCAATATTCTGAGACTCTAAAATAGTCACAAAACATAACTAAGGAAAAAACTAGACACTGATATACAACAAGACACATGGCATCCACTGATATTCATCCAAATGAGTTGGTTAATGAACTCTACAATTTGTTCTTCTTTTCCCTTTGTTGGAAAGAAACTATACTTGGCAATACAGTATCTATTAAGATACTGAAACTGAGGTTTTTGGTTTTTTGACAGCAGAAAGTTAAGAAACTTCCCCATTATATTTCAAAAAAAGAAAACTAATTCAGGTTCAGATTTTTATTTACAAAATACCTCACAGTCAGAGCAAAATTACTTAGTTTCTAAATAATTCCTTTCATGCTAATAAATAAAACTATAAAGGACAAAGTTTTCAGAAAAAAGAAGAAAGTATAGGCAAAATGTGGAAGACGTGGCCAGAAAGATAGAGAAGCAGCTGGGATGCACACTGGTTCCATTCCCAGCACCGGATGGCCTCCTGAGCATAACTGGGCATGATCTTGGTGGTCACTGAGGAGCAAGGAGGTGGCTCTGGGGGTCCCTAAGTAATGCCACATCCTTGGACTTTGGCACTGACTTGGTCCCTGGTACTGAACCATCTAACTGGTTGGTGCAGAATCACTAGGGCTAGACCCCTGGTCCCCTGGGCACTGCCTGGAAGGCCTCTCCCCAGAATAAAAAATGTGGAAGAAGTCAGTATACATTATTGTACATGTCCAATCACTGTCTTTGTTGATAATCCAGGGAAAGAGACTCCCCGCAATCCCCACTGGTATGACAGCTAGAATGGCCAGAATGGCTGAACATTCTCAGAATTTGTCAGGAAACACAAATCAAAGACTCACTTTCTAATTGACAGTCCTCATTTGAGAGAACTGTCTGACAGTTAGACTGACTACCTCAAATAGATGTAACATGGAGAATCAAGCATCCAGAATGCCATTCCCAGGACACTGTGGTGCAGATCAGAGAATATCAGGCTTATGACCAAAGGATACAATAATCAACAGATATTACATTGATAGTGTTAAAATTTCCTAACACTGCCTATGTCCAACAATAAAATAAATGCTGCCATGTTAAACAATGTGAATGACCACAGTTAGATTTATTTAATACCGATGACAAAAAACAGAACAGGTTAATCTGAACTATGGGTAGGGAAAAGGGCATAAGAATCCATGATGCTGATCAAATGACAAAACTCCTAACGCACAAAAAGTATCTTTTGTTTCCATAAATATTTATCTTTGCACACCCCGTCCACACATTCCCACTTAATTATGAGAACCTGCCAATCTTTACTCTTCCCTCATTCATGTCAGCTTCCTAACTAGATTCCCATTTTTACACATGCTGACGGTACTATCCATAGAGAACAGAATATGTGTGACAGAAATGGAGAGTGGTACCCTCTGCCTCGCTGTTTTAACTTGCGCGGATTCATTGCCTGGAGATGAGAATCTAGAAAACACAATCTAGCTCCACATGCCTCTCCAGAATAACCCGTCAGCAGCAGTGGCTCTAAGCCCATGAGGCCACCAGGATATTTCAACTGTCCTTAACTTCATGTTGCTCCCTCCCCCCCCTCCCCCCCACAGAAGAGAGACAGGAGAAGCAGAAGTCAAAGTGTTCAAAGACTGAGAAGTCAATAAAAAAATATTGTAAATTTTTCTTTTGAAAGTATAACTAGTACAGTAAACCAGGACTGCAGTGATCATTTCTTCTTTGTTTTGTGGTCACACCTGGCAATGCTCAGGGACCACTTCAGGAGCTGCTTAGAGGACCATACGGGTACAAGGGATCAAACTTGGGTCAGCGACATGCAATTCCTACCCACTATATTATTTCGCTCACTCCAGGATTGTAGAGATCAAGAGGTGCCTTATTGTCTTGTGTTTAAATGAAACATTTGTACCTACGATTACAGGATGAGGGATAATCTCATAAGAGAAAAGCTTAAAACATAAACACGGCAAAGTCTGGAAGGCAACACTCTGACTAAAAAAAAAATATTGATTGCCAAGAAATTAAAAATGATAAGCACTGATTAGAAACCAATGGATTAAAATGATGTTTAAAATATGTAAAGAAAAGCACTGTAGCACGGTCCTCCTGTTGTTCATTGATTTGCTCGAGCGGGTACAAGTAAAATCTCACAACAAATTGTGAGACTTGTTGTTACTGTTTCTGGCATATTGAATACTGCACGGGGAGCTTGCCAGGCTCTGCCGATGTAAAGACTAATATTAACAACAACAAAAAAATTTTCTAGAGTAGAAGTAAATATAACATTTCAGGTACTAACTGTGAAACCCAAGATTTTTTATAGATTTACCTCAAGGTAAAATGTAAGCTTCTAAATTCAAGCATATATTTTTTAATATGAACTCTTTTAGTGGGGGCAGGGCAGTGAGGTTGAGCCATACCTGGTGGCGATTAGGGGTAGGTTCTGCTAGTGCTTGAGGGCACCATGTGGTGTTGAGGAACAAAATGGGGTCATCAACATACAAGGGAAGGTCTTAACCTCCTTCTGGCTTGCAAATATACATATAAAACACGTTTTTTAAAAAGTCACTCATAGAATAGTTTTAGTAATTCTACAGAAATTGGCAATGAATTTTTCTGGTATGACTTGAATAAGGAAAATCAGAGCAATACATGGATGTTAAAAAGGAGGGGAGGATCAGTGTTCATCAGTAGAGTGATAAAATCAGCAAGATGCAACTGTACTAAGGACCAGTACTTTGTGGCTAGTAAGTATATACTGTCATACCTAGCACTTCCAATAGGTGGCAAAATAAAACCAAATTTCTGAGAACTACAAAGTGAAAAATAAAAAAGTACAAATAAGCTGGAAATGATAGTTATTGATTCAAATTTCATTTATCAATTTTTTAAATTTTTTAGGATTTGTCCTCCGATGGGCCACTTTTCATGGGTGGCCCGAGATGACTTAATGGAGTGGTGAAGGCCTAACAGAGACCAGAAGTCTCAGAGCATTGCTGCCTGGGAAGTCTGCTCCAGAAAGGCTGCTGCTGCATGAAGGAGATAAGGGACCCAGCAAAGACCTTTATAAAACAGTGAGACAAAGATGATAAAAGTAGTGTGACAGCACATACTGATTTTGCTTTTAGTGTCTTATCCAAACTGGAATCAAGAGACTCCAAAACGGGCTGGAAAGATTGCTGACAATTGCTGACAATTGCTGACAACAGAGCAGGCTCAGGTTCAATCCCAGCAAGGCCTAAACCCTGAGCACTGAGAGCTGTGGCTCAAAACAAGCAAGCAAACAAAATAAATAAAATTACCAAGCTACCAAGAGGATCTTGCCCGCACGGCAAAGCCTGGCAAGCTCCCTGTGATGTATTCAATATGCCAAAAACAGTAACAAGTCTCACAATTTGTTATGAGACGTTACTGGTACCCGCTCGAGCAAATCGATGAACAACGGGAGGACAGTGCTACAGTGCTACCTCATCATCCTATAAACACTGTGAAACAAAGTCTGGGTAATATGTGATTCTAGAAAGAGCTAACGCAAGATACCTGGTAGGCTGTTCAGCCCGGTCGAGACCAGGACTTACCTCTGCTCTCAGGAATTGGCTCTTCCAGCCAAGGGTATTGTTCGGTCTCGTCTGGCAGCTCAGTTGGCTCTGAAGCAGATCTTTCTTTAAGGCCTGCATTTTTTATTCACAAAGTTAACTTGAGTTTTCTGTCTTTTTCAATTTGTTAAACCAGGAAAAATATCTCAAACACTTCAGCAAGAGGGCAAGTACATAATGAAGAGTTTTCACAATAAAATACATTAAAATATTGATAGGCTTAAAATTGAAGCAGGAAAAGTTTGCTCTCTAACTTCACAGATACCTACTTACCTATGTCATTCATTATAAATGTAAAATACAAGGAAACCCAAAAAAATCACTGTATACTCAAAAATATTATAAATGCAATTGTGCATGAATTTGCCAAGATAAGCTTAATGTGAGTTCAAGCTTCTCATGTTCTTGAATATAATAAATTCCTAAGTCTTGAACTCTGGATTCAACAATGAGACAACTAAGATGCATTTAAATTTTATTCTGTGGTGTGCATTCCATATTTTTATTTACATTGTTCTTTTTGAGATGACAGTTTTAAATGTAACAATAATACATAACCTTCTGAACACAATTCAATTGTATTTAAGAGCTAAGAAAACTCAAAAAAATGTCCATGTCTTAAGGAGAACAAAACATTACAGTAAATTGGCATACAATCTTGTTTTAACATCACATCAGTTAAAATTTATCACACTAAGTTCTTTATCTTTCATACATTATTTGTAGAACTTTAAAGCTAAACTATTTCTAGGATCTATCAATTCCATTTACCAAATCCTGGCCTCTTCATCAGCCTTCTCAGAATCTGGACCAAGAGTCATTACTAGAAGTGTGTGTGTGCATGTAAAGAGTACAGAGATGTCTTTCTAATCTTAAGCATCTTAGAAAACACTACGTGAATATGTCATAAGTCTGAGAAATCCTCATTTCGATGTCTTATACCATTCTCCACAGGCTCTTAATATTTTTTGTTGCATCTCATTTTTCTCTTATTGAGAAAAACATCTTCCTTTCTCCCTTTCACAAATCTTACAAAGGCACTGAGACAGACATACACAGGACATCACCTCATCATTTTATCCCTCTGGGTTTATTTATGATACAACTTACACAAAGCATTTACATTAGTAGATTATCAACATAGCACGATTATGTTCTACAACTACAAAGTGACCATGGCCTATTAAATAGGTTTCAAAGGAATTGTACACAAATATCATAGATTTTGACTGTAGATCAACCTCAGGGAGAAGAGAATAGAGAATGTAAACTAATAAAAACACGTATGTGAGTGCTGGGACATGACCTAAAGGAGTGCAATGCATACTTTGTATGCATGATCCCTGACATCAAAGCTCAGCACCACATAGTCCAAGCACTGGGAGGTGAAATCCCCTAAACAAAAACCAGAAGCTGCATATTTGAAATCCCAGATTTAGACTAAAATCTTCCATTGCCTTTTCTATTTAAACAATCCGTTCTTCTGTTTCTCAGTTGTAAATGAAACAAGTATAGAACCATTCTCCACAAGGACTGCTGAAAGAACAGGAGAGGTCAAGGCCCTTTAGACTCAAACTATCTTTGCAGTCTCAGCACCTGGCATTCAGTAGGTGTATAAACACCTGGCATTCAGTACGTGAATAAACACCTGGCATTCAATAGGTGCTCAATATTCACTTAAAAGACTGAACACACTCAGTGTTGTGACTTCAGAGGTTCTCTGAACTACCAAACCTTTTAAAAGTAGAGAAAGTGGCTCACGGTATGAAGGTGGGGAAGGGAGTTCATATCAATTTCCCTACTAGCATTTGTCAAAGAAATTTCTACTTGTGTTCTAGCATCCACCATTATAGTAAAACGATCTAATATGCCCAGGATATTCTTAATTGTAGCTACTGCCCCAGATGAATTATTGGACTCCCACGAAGTATCTCAATATGAGTTAAAAAATGCTATTATAGGATCATTCTTCATGAATCTCATCTGTAGCAAGTTTTAAAACTATATTTCCTAGGTTCAACTAGTAGTAAAATATTCTGCCCACCAAATATAAGCCATATTTTAACAATTCAGAAATACAATGATAAAATGCCCCAACAGCCAGCTTTCTCTAAATCAGTTGGGAGTTGCTTGTCTCTAAATTAAAACTGGGAACACATAGAAAACACTCGGATAAAATAAAAGCCCATCATGAGAAAATATTAAGCTGTTTTCTTTTCTCTGAAAAGTATTGAATTGTAAATTTACTGATATCCAGTCACAGCTATTTCCAGGAAATGAAATCAACACCAAAATTAATGAGATTATAAATGTCAAAAATCAAACCAACCGAGGATCATAATAACACATCTCATTTCCTAGATCATTACAAACTTTGAATAAAATTCAATAAAAACACATTTCACACTAATTCTTACTGCTTTGATAATCATTGCGAATTACAAATTTTATTCTAGTATTTCAAAAAGCTTTTAGCTTCTTCAACCATTTTGCTTCATAAATGTTCCTCAAAGAGCTCATAAGACCTCAGGCAAAGAAGCAAACATTAAACAAGAAAAATAATTCTATAAAATGCCAATTTACAGTCACAGGAAAGGCATTAAAATTGCACTGAGAGTTATAAGGATGCAACAGTATAAGGAATAGTCAAGATGACTTTACAAAATGACCATTTGATATTTCTGGGCCTGCATTTAAAAAAAAAATGCCAACTCAAACTGGCCTGATCAAGTAGGAAATGTCCGATCTAAAATTCAGGTCATGAGGCAGGATGTAACATTCTTAGCACTGGCTTCATCCTCAGACTGTGGCCGGAATGCCCGGTGCAAGCCCCTTTCCCCCATTCAGACAAGATGGCATTCAGAAGCAAAAGGACTATCTTGGGTTGGGTTCTGCTTCTCTCTTACTAAGCTTGAGCAAATGCTTTCTCGAAGCTCTCAGCATTCCTTTTAGTTTTAGTAGTCAAAACTGGAACCTACTCCTGAATTTGAGTCCCATCACCATGTGTGCTCCAAGATGGCCTCAACACAACGGAGCCAAGCAGTGCCACCAAGCATTATACCAGACCCCTACCTGCCATTCATGCTTAGGAAGATCCAAAATAAAACAAAACCCTGGAAATTTCTCTCCTAAATGAGCAAGAAGAACAGGTTGATCACAGCTGCCCTACAGTAATTATCAAAGGTAAAATACAGGACTGAAGCAGCAGCAATAGTCTTCAATTATTTTAGAAAACACATGAGTTCCCCCAAAATGTACCTAAAATGTACTTTTTAGATCATTGGATACAGTAGACAAAATTAAGAAAAGGGAAAAGTTAATTTATTATAAGTAAATTAAATAACAAAATTATATTTATTAAAATGCAATTTTGCCTTCAATTTTAACTACAAATGATGTAGGATCAGAGATGAATCTGTTGCTCACCATAGCCCACTATCTGCTTATGACCTTCAGTGGTACTAAACTATACCTAAGTGTAAGGGGAATGAATACCACTTTCATCCTACAAATATGCACTTGTTCAAAGAATAGTAAAATGCACAGTGCATTCACTCAACAAATATCTAGAACCTTCTAATGCAAGGCATTGTTCTACAGGCAATGAATAAACAAAACCTCACCTCCCACAGGAAGGGAACAATTTGTAAAGTAATATAGAACATTTAGATGTACACTAGATGGGGAAAGAGTATGAGGAAGAGTATGAAACTGGGAATGTCAAACCCTTGGGGAAAAAGAGCAGGAATATTTACTAATTTAATGAGGGAAAAAGCATTTACATGAAGAGATTCCCAGGGACTGCGTGACCCTGGGGAAGAGAGGTCCAGGCCAGGCAGGGAAGGCTCACTGATGTACAGATCGAACAGGTTTGAGAGCGAGAAACGTCCTGACAACCAAACTTTGTACTTTACTCTTGGTGAAAAAGCAGAACTTGCTTCTACCTAGTACATACAAACTGCTTCTTCAACGAAATCTGGGAATTATGAAAGCATATTCTGCTCCATAGTTTCCCTATACTTATCCCAAGTGCTCAGTGTTACTCCTAGCTCTGTGCTCAGGGACGGACCCCTGTCTCTGCTTTGGGGATCCTATGTGATGTCAGGGATTAGAAGCAGGGTCAGCTGTGTGCCAGGAAAACACCATAACCCCTGTATTATCCCTGTGGCTCCCCAAAAGCACTATTTCAAGTTAGCTGATCAAATATATGTCTTACTTATTCAGTGTTACACAGATTGCAGAAATTTGAACCTTATGTAAACAGAATTCCCCCAACTGTTGTGATTAATAAGGAGGCATATTCAGGACTGTTACTTTTCCAGAAATAAATCGACTAATATGTCCCAAGAATAATCTGAACAGTTGAATGGTTTAAGAAATATCAATGGGAAGTTCCAGAAAGACACACAATACTAACTGACAGTATTAATCCTCATATTGTTTCTGGTTAGTATAATCAGCAAATACAGACCTTGGTAGGTATCACAGCAGTAGCACTATATCTGAGCAAATTCTGAGATTCACAGGAACAAAAAGAGGTACTATAAACTACAGTAAGAAACATTTTAGGTCTAAGATTCTTAAAATGATCACAGATAAAAAATTAGAAATTGAGCTCCCATTTGACCGAGCAATACCACTCCTGGGAATATATCCCAGAGAGGCAAAAAAAGTATAGTCAAAGTAACATCTGCACTTGTTGTGTTCATTTCAGCACTGTTTACAATAGCTAGAATCTGGAAAAAACCTGAGTGCCCAAGAACAGATGACTGGTTAAAGAAACTTTGGTACATCTACACAATGGAGTACTATGTAGCTGTTAGAAAAGATGAAGTCATGAAATTTACATACAAGTGGTACTACATGGAAAATATCATGCTAAGCAAAATGAACCAGAAAGAGACGGATAAACATAGAAAGATTGCATTCATCTGGGGAACATTAAGTAACAAAATAGGAGACTAACACCCAAGAGTGGACGAGATTACTACCAGGAGGTTTGCTCCATGGCTTGGAAGCCAGCCACACATGCTAGGGGAAAAGGCAGCTCAGATAGAGAAGGGAGCACCAAATAA